CTCAGAGGGTTCGTGAACACATCCCGGCATGGTTTTACAGAGGCGAAATGAGGTCTTCAGACAGCTCTATCATGTCGCACCTCCTTGAATGTGGCCATACAGCTTCAGAGAATGACTTCAAAGTCATTTACTCATTACCTGAACACTTCTCCCAAGGATTCCGCAAACAGCTCTTATCCATCGCCGAGGCTATGTACATTCACCATCTAAAGCCGGAATTATGTGTCCAAAAACGATTTATACGGCCGATACTACTACCTTGGCAACGGACACCGTTACTTAGTTATTTGGCTGTTACTTACTTAATTACATTGTACTACTGAGCCTTGTGTACACATGTTTATTTAGTTTACTTGGTCTACCATCTCTATCTCTGTCTCAAGTTATCGATTTTGGTCATTCAAACAGTCAAGAAATCAATCCCAGCCCCAGTTGATGCTATCTCCACAATCACTGTTATGTAACTGTTTGGGTCCGATGAGAGTTACCGAAAAGAATTCTTTACCCTGAAATGATTTCTGATATTGATTCATATTAATGAAATGGGAATCTTTGCTTTGCTGAAGATCAGCATTGCCCGTGATTCATTGAAATCACCTTAGTGTGGTGCCTGTGGAATGAGATTCGGTCAATAAGAGGACTGCATCAACTTATTCAGGGTGCAGTAGCAGAATACAAACTCAAGGTTGTTGGCAGTTGGGGAAGCAGTAGTACTTAGGATTATTCGACCAGCGTTGCAAACACGGAGGCAATTGATCCAATCACCACGTTTTCTTAAGAACTGTACCCCTTATTTACTTACATTTATCTATATTACTTTGTGCATAAATGTTTAACATGCCCTCAGCCATGCTTAGCTCATACTTGCCAGTTTTATTGCGTTTGTGACTGCCGAGAGTGCCCGTAATCTTAGCATCTCGCAGCACTTCCTGCGCACCCCGTGAAAAATGTCATTCGCGGATGAGGCCTGCAACAACAACAGCAACATCATAACCCTTGATGACAACTCTAAATCTTTGCATTGCGCTACACATACTTTAAGGTTTCGCCACTCATTCTCCATTAACGTTTCCAAATAAGCATGTTGTGTAATGGCCAAACTACTCAGGTGCATCGTATTTGTAGTAAAAGAGCTCACCAACCATTTGTACAAAACGTACGTTATTTTCTATCCCCTTGTTTGATAAGCCTTAAGTGAGGTATGGTAGCTCACGTAGGTTGAGCGGTATTGCCGTAAAATAAATGCGCAGGTGCCTCTACAATTCTCTCCTGATGCATCAGCAGCAGATGCTGTGAGTAAGTTAAGCTGTACTCACTAGGACTTAGTCACACAAAACAACTTCTTTCAGGTTTCTTTAATGTTCCTTGCAAGCAATACTCACTCCAACCACAAATGCTTCAACTTATAGACTGACTGTGGACAATAGATGTACTAAAGAATACGGCCTGAAAGACAAGATCAACGTGAATAAATAAAAAAAAAGATTTTAGGATTAATACTATGCAATCAATACTAATACAGAGACAAGCGTCCGGTTGATATTTGTACTATCACGTCGGAAGATGACTTCCGTCGAAAGCCTAAAAGATTCCTGAGAGTTTTTACTGTGCTCGAAACCCTGGGTTGTTCCATGACTCTAAGCAGAGCGGAAGAGCGATTTTCGGTTAGCGTATGATCAGAATTACTGAAGGATTCTGTTAAGAAAGTTCATAAAATAATCATTGATTTTCTGCTCAACATTTTCCTTTCCATGTTACAAACATCAGTTATACTCAGTGAAAAGGATTACTGTTAGCCCTTATAATCAGTAATCGGTGGGTTGAAGATTCAGGTCCTGTTCATCGTCTCTTCAGTCCACCTCGGATCTGAATAGTTCGCGTTAATTTTGTCAGGCTCCCATGTTTACCAGTATACTAGTCAAATGAATAGCCAAGTCTTAATAAGTAGGTTTGCAACTCACCTTTACCCGCCACGCTTCCTTCCTATTTTAGCTGTCCTCGAGGTTTGTCTTTCGTAAGTAAAAGCAAACATGCGTTGGATAGTCCGACACCCGAGTCCTCTTCATCCATCTCAAACCCACCGTGGCTGTCAGCGGTTCAGTACAGGTTCCCTTGGCCTGTATACAAACGTTTCGCTAGCGTATGCCCAGGCGCTTTGCTAGGTGGAACACCCATATGGTATTTTAAAATATTTGAACCAATTTTCAGGTTTGAATGACATTAATGCTTATTCTACACCTATAATAAATCTTTTCTTATTACCATGCCCACCCATCATGAACGTCTGAAAACGCAAACTATTTACAAGTAATAACTCGGAAAACCACTTTCCTATCCGGAACGCGCTGTGCACCCTGTAGGTAGGACACCTAGAAATCCATTAGCACCCTGGAAAAACCTTTGTCAATTTTACATGCATTCTTTTCCCCGTTGATCCATCTGCATAGTTTATCAACAGCCTACTTCAACATAATTTTCTTTTAAGGTCTTTCTGAACTGCAATCTAATCGTAGAAACTTTTCTAGTTATGGGCAGCTTCAGCGCCTGACGAATATTTATAAGAAATACTTGATTGACGCTCAACAGTAAATGAAATAAAAGTGTCCTGCTCGTGGAAAACAGAGTTTTACGCTTCCAAGCCGGGTTCAATGGATCAGTTTTATCGTTATAAAGAATTAGAACACAAGGATGAAATGGTCCCAGGTGATCTTTTGTCTTATAGATATGATCTCCTAGCCTAACTTTTGGCTAGAGTATATGGCAAGGCAGCTGTTTGAGAACTGTTAATTGGTGTGAGGCTTGTAGTACGGGCGAAGAAATGGAAGCTTCGTTCCATCAATTAACCACTACTGCTAGACTGTCCAGGAAGAGAGAACCGAGCAACATTTTGTTTCAAGTGATGTAAAGTGGGAGAAACTAATGCGTTACGTGACAATACTACTAATCTAGGGCTGCATAGTTTAGATACTATCGAATAAGTAAGTGAAAAATGACGACTTACAAAAAGGTGCAAACTGGGCAATTCCTATCGGTGCACTAAAACAATAGAACAACGGTAATCATTGTTGTAATGACTGAACCCAGCTCAGCCGTACTGAGGAGTTGGGAAACCCAAGATAGCAAATGTCCGTGACCGCGCAGTGCAATTTATACAGGTTTTAACCCCTAGATCTGCGATTGGAAATTGCTTTTTAAACCTGCATTAAGATAGATAACAAACCAGTTGCTTAGATGTACTAAATGAGGGGTGTGATAGAAGTGTGTACTACACTTGGAGCAAGCTGTAAAATGGATTAAGCATTGCCTTGTATTAAGAGGTGATACTGGCGAAATGTAATAAGAGTGAGCTGTCCGTATACAACCAGTAAAGAGGAAGCAATGGTACCACCTCATTTAGTGGTATGGTCACTTTAAACCAGGTCTGTAAATAGTTCCTTGCGGCTCAAAATTGAACAGCAAGTCACAAGTGAGTGGAAGGAATACGAATGTTAATCAATAAATATCAGCCAATCGAAACGTAGAACAGACGTGCCTTGTACCACGTGGTTCATTACATGGAGGCTTTGCAAGCACCGCACACAAGATGAACGATGTTCAAAATATGATTGGATGGTTTAGTTAGATTGGTCCAACATATATATATATATATATATATATATATATATATATATATATCAAGGAGGATCGTATTACTGCTTTGCATTTTTATTAGCACGTTTCCCTCTCTGCCTTGATTACGTTTGATCTTGTCCCTGGTTACCTCCATTATTACAAAAACTGTCTCATGGACATTAACCATTAATTTATTACCAAAATCACGTTCTTGATTTTATTGCAATGCCTATGCTTTCCTTATTAAATCTATGCCAAAAGCCGGTTAAATATCTGAACGCTTCCCTAATCAACCTGTTTTCGATATTTTGTACATGACCGTAAGTTGCTTATCATGCATTGATGAGCATATCTACAAGTGCAGAAAACAAATGTTTACTCATTTAGTTATCAATGTATCTACTTCTTTCACACCAACATCCACTTTTCGATGCACGGCTGATCAAGCCATAAATCTCCACCTGTAAGTGCAGGCTGAAAGAAATGCAACTGAGACCACTTGGACTCCCAAAAACTCGGTAATACATATTACATATGTTCTGATATAGTCAATTAGATATTCAGGTCTAGGAACGTTCAGGCAAGTCACTCTGCCCCATGTGCTTAGTAATTTACGTTACTCGGCCTACAATGCTGTAGCAACCAAAATTCATAGGACGCTACTTTGGTACCTTAATCCTATCTTTCTCTCCTTTTTCGCGTAGGAGCAAAACTGCACCAAATACAGACAGCTTTCCTTCTGTTACTCTAGAATAGGATGTGCGCCTATACGTTACCCATCTGATTTTGGTTGATGACACCAATTTCTTTACCCGCTCTCATGTTTCTTCTATTTTCATGAGCCTGCCGTCTCCATGGTATCCCTGGTCTGTACCGGAAAAATACAGATTGCTGGTGTTCTGATAGGAAACAACAGTGAGAACACCGAACTATCTTCCCAGACGTTACTATTACTTGGCTCTATAACCCCCAGACATTGATATCCATGCATACGTGAGCATATCGCACCTATAAATACGATCCGTTCCTTTGTGGGCACGGTTATTTGATAAAATGAGAAATCTACACTATTATTATTAATATTATTATTATTATTAATATTATTATTACTGTCCATCATACTAGTTACACAGTCCTTTATTCTTTCAAAAATGTTCTGGATACATTGCGCAGGTAAGTACGAGGAGAACGAAATTTCTAAAAGAGGCGAAACTCATAAGACGCTCCAAGTTACAGATAACTTTTAGAGAGGATCTATTTGGTTCCAATTAGTCCATTAGCGGCTGAACACCGGACACCGAAGAAATGGCAAGGGATCTCACGAGACACATACAAATGGATGACCTGCGCTTTAAATTGTTACCTTACGGTATCTTTGCAATACTTACATTTGCCAAGGAAATACTTGAAGTACCATCGTGTCTCTCTCTCCGGATTTTCCAAGTGCACAGCTGAGGAAGCAGATTTGATCGAAGGGTTATTCCATCCGCTGAGCGCAGGTGGATAGCTATCAAACAAGAAATAATCCTCGGCGAATTCAGCTGCGGTCGAATGACTTGTACTGCTGGTGTTGAAGTCAGAACCAACACTAAGTTTGATGCTGTATTGGGCTTGCAGTTCCGTCACAGAATCTGGTTGTAGTCCAGTGGATTTTGGCACAAAGTCCGGCGCGTAATATTCGTCATCTTTGGAATCGACCGACTTGTCGACGCTTGTGGTTGGATTAATGGATATGGTACCGTTGGAGCTGTGGGATTCACGGTGGGCGCGAGTGGAACCGAAGTATGCTAGTTCTGAACGAAAGCGGCCGGCATTGTTAATGAAGCCCTGCGGCTCCGTGAGTTGGAATTGTGGATCTATCATTTGCACCTGAGATTTTCAAGGAACGGAATGCAATTACAGTGTGCTAATCCGCGGAGCATAGGAAGTGTGTATATGGACAGTGGAAGCTTGCTATCACTGTATTCAGATTTACTGGTGTGCGGAAACCATGTACCCTGCAGCCATTACGTGTTATGGGACAGTAACCTGTGTTACAACAAAGATCTCCTTGTTACCTCCAGTTGGAACATTTTATCGATTATAGTTTCCTGTGTTCAACGGAAAATGCCAGTCGATAAACTGAATGCAGCTGGGAGTGAGGGTGGCTGGATAGATGGAGCAAGGTACGTGAACTAAAGCTTGCGTGGAACATAACCTGGGCATTCGGCGGGGTAGACTTCACATAGTAACGAGGTGTATCTGTGAGTCCACCACTAGCAACACAATGAAATCGTATGGAGACGAGATTTTGAGGTGCGTATAGAGCTCCGTCACTGACGAACTGGCCAACAAACATACTCACTACAAACGGGTGGACATACGACGGGCTAGACAAACAGACACAGAGAGGCGAAACACCCGACACACCAGAGGCGTTATTGCCAGAACGGAGGCTAGGATATGGACCGTGTGGAGATTATTGGTTGTGAGAACCAGTGATGCAACGATTACTTAAACGGAAAACCATCATTCTTCACCACTGCATGTCATGCCTACCTGGTGTCCAGCCGCCAGTACCCAGTGGATCGGGATTAGAAACACCAACGTCGTATGCTACTATGCTACGATGTTTATGCATCCAGGTAGGCAAAGTGGTTTCACATGTTCGACGATTCCCGCACACGGCACTTCAATGCACGCACGGTTTCAAGCAAACTACCATCCGTTTGGCAGATATGACAAGACCGAACCCGAACCCGGGACCTTTGGGTTGCGTGCCGAAGCCTCTACCTATAAGCCACCGAACCACTGAGGGTTACTAAGTGGGTGTCATCAAGAAGCTCCAGTAATGTGTAATCGGAATGGGACCTGCATCTTCCATTTGTACTACGATTAATCTTGAAGTGTAGTTCAAACCGTTAGGTTACTACAATTTTATATAAAACAGACAACTGTATTGATCGAAGTCTACCTCAAAATTAATCGCATTCTGTAGTACCACATTCCGTTCCTATAGCAGGGGTTTTGAAGGAGCAGTCAATGGTTTAGAAAAGTGTCTAGTTCATGCAAACCTATGCCAACAGTCATCGAAGTTGGTTCATCCAACTCTGTTGCCGAGTAGATAGCAACAAAATGGAAGCTTGTTTTTGTGAATTCCGGTAGGCTGCCTATGGCTTCCCTTTGTAGATTTGCTTCTTACTTCCAAGACTAGTGCGGAGGCATCAAGTTCAGTCTACATACAACCGCGTGAAACTCTGAAAATGCTGCTTAAATTTTCGCAAAGACTGATGCAGCCACGCTGACTATAGCTGGAGGCCGTAGCGCCGGACAAACTCACTGTAGTAGCACTTGTTCTCTCTGTCAGTGATCCAACAGAGCACCTTTTCAAAGCAATTTGGCCCAACCAATCGGCTTGGACTTTAGTAGCATGGTTGATTGATATCTTAGGATTTTAAACAGTATGGCGGAACTACACTTGCTCCCAGAGAACAATAACAAAGAGCAGGAATTTCTTGAAAATCGCTCTTCCATTAATGCAAGGTTAGAGTAATAAAGTACTACTTTCGCCAAAGAAAAACAGATGTTCCAATGGCATACAATGTGATCCCATTCAACCTTTTTTTGCTGCGAACCAGTAATTTGCTGGATTAGCTTAGAACCGAGTCGAGTTTATCCACACTCTTGTAAGTACCAGCGCAAGCATGGACAACTCAGCTACGTATCTATAAAGGAAATGGTAGGTTTTTAGATGAGTACTTAAATCCATGCTTTAATGCCAAACTTACCCTAAGCTCAGCAACTTATTTTAAGATTGTAGTATAAAACTGATGAGCAGACCTCATACTCGCACATAAGATTGGCCCCGAACCAGTATTACGCTTTATGGAACCTGCATCAATCCGGATGTTTCCACGATTTGTCTGTGTAAAATTTAAAATACAACTATTTCATTGTACACTTAGACGATCAATGCAGAATGTTGAACTGCAGTTGAGTTCGATTATTCGAATCGAGCCCTGCTATCTAGTTTGGCGCTCCTTCGGTTCACGAATTGCTACTGCTAATGTGCTGCGCATTTTCGCTCCCCCTACCTAGCAGCGTCCATCGGGGTTGTTTTTTGATAGATAGGCAGACGGTGAATATTTCACTGTACAAATAAAAGCTACATGGCAAACTGATCTGCCATCCGAAACCTTTTCTTTGCTCTGCTTCAAACCACCTTCTTCAGCTTTCTTAGCTAGCATACTTTTGTATTTCTTGCTGTAGCTCCTAGTGCATTGTGGGGAGACTGGTGGTTTTAAACGGATTCGTATAGCCCACAAATCTCTCGTAACGTAGTACACGACCGTTTGGCACCAGTGGGGGTTGTCAACAGCAAGCACAATCCTTCAACCTCGCAGGATTAGAGCCCACATGTATTCTCACACGACTTAATGACTGAAGACACTTGACCCTGTGTGTCGGTGACATACCGTGGTGGTTGCTTAACGACTACGGTATGCGCCAGGTCCATTTAAACGATACTGGTTGACCTCCAGAAGTACGCTATGCCTCAATGGGCCCCAGTTCAAGTGCTTACCATTGGTGAGAGGACAGCCGATAGATGTTTTCGTGGTTTAGAGAATTTTCGTTACAATCATCCCCAGTCACATGACCAATACCTTTGCGAAAATGCGCTGTTCGGTAGCTCGGATCCATTTGCATTAGCCTTCGAATCCTACGGGAATCCAGCACACAACTATCGCAAGCCAACTGGCAGGACCTTTAGCTCAGTTTTTCCAGCGCTGCTTAGACCGGAATCAAGTTCCCGCTATGTGCAAGCTTGTAATAATATCCCCGATTCACAAGGTGGAAGCAGAACGGATCCCTCCAACTACCACCCGGTATCCCTTCTTCATATACTCTCCAAGGTCATGGAATCTATAGTTCCCGATGCACTGGTGTGTTAGTTGAAAAACTGTAACATTCGCACGCTTGAGCAGCACGCTTCCCGTCGACAGCGGTCATGTACAACGAATATACTAATCGCACGCAGTAGTTGGACGGAGTCAGCTGACGCTGGAGATGATCTCGATGTGATCTACCTGGATTTTTTCAAGGCTTGCGATCGTCTAGACCATCGGATACTACTCTCCAAGCTCCAGCGTTACGGGATCGGTGACCCTCTTTTAAGCTGGATTGCCAACTTTCTACTTCAACGGCAATTAGTGGTCAGAGTTCGGAGTTCTTTATCGGACCCCATACAAGTTGAGTGTGGGGTGCCGCAAGGCTCAGTTCTACTTCCACGTTTGTTTTTGGTGTTTATTAATGACCTCTCACGGAGAATGGTTTCAAACTCCTTAATGTTTGCCGACGAGATCAAGATTTGGCACAGCATACAGGCGAACGCCGACCAACATGTGCTTTAGAGGGACCTAGATACGATGTAGCAATGCTCAACTCAAAATGTACTGCATTTCTACGTCAGTAAACGCAAAGTACTTTCCATCCGACATCAGACCAACTACTCATACCGGCTCAGAACGACTATACTACAACAATCAACTCTCGAGCGTGAGTTGTGTGTCCTAGTTCAAGATGACTTGGGTTGCTCCAGGCAATCCGAAAAGGCCTCGTAGGCTGGGAGCCAACTCGTCGGGCTGTTGCGACGGGCGTTTGGACAAATAAATAGCTCCATATTTCGACAAATGCTCAGTGCGTGTGCACATCCCCATGTGGAGTACGCAATTCAAGACTGGCAACCATGGCTGAAACATGACCTTAATGCAGTGGAGCAGCCACAGCGTCGGGCAGTTAGAACGAAATTGGAATGCGCAATCTTTCATACGAGGAGAGGCTGCAACGATTGGGGGTATTCAGTGAAAGGTATCGCAGACTACGAGGCGATCTGATTAGGGCATACTTGATTCTGCGAGACCCACATTATGTGTGTCGCCGTTTACGGCGACTCGGTACAAATACAACCCTGAGGGGCCACTCATTGAAACTCGCTGTACAGTATAGCCGCCTGGAATGCCGTAGCAAGTCATTTTCTATTCATGTCTGTCAACTGTGGAATGCTGTGCCAGAATCGGTCGTCTCTGCACCGAAAATAGCAGTATTTAAGTGACGGTTGGATGATGCACTCAACCACTTACACTTTGTCACTGGGCGCTACGTCTCCATCCTACACCTGGAGTTTACCATGGGTTTATTTGATGTTAACTGCGGGTGCTGTGAATCTAAGCGGATTTCAGAATTGGGGCAGAGCAACCGTTGTCCTTATTTTGACATTTAAAGTACTGACTGTTTTACTCTCATTGTTATCTTTAGTGTTATGTCGATATCCCCACCAACTATCCAACGGGACTAGTAAAGCAACACTTCTTAACTCGTAAAATTTTATTGTTCATTGTTCATTATAACAACTTATGTTCCTAAGAGGAGGATCAGGACGGTGTACTACTCATTAGGATATTGATACATGGCTTTCGAACTTTAATGAGATAATGCAATAAGCGTAGTGTTAGGAAGGAATACACGAGTCGAACAAGCCAGGACCCCATCGCCTCGGCCGGCTATCCAAACCCATCCGCCCTGATTGGGGCGAACAGAGAGCCAACCAGGAGAAGCGGCCAATGAACGCTGGGTCGAAGTTCCTTTATTGGCTGTAAGTTAACCTTTCCAGAGCTTTCCACGGTCGCTTTAAATATACTGTTCACGAACTTTCCAATTTACCTTTATAATGAACGGTGTGGTTTGCTAATTCATTCCTGTTGCTCTGCTCGTCCGATTCGTTTTCTCTCTGTCCTGTGGGGGGCCAGCGATTTCGGGTTTGATTGGGAATCAAGCGTCCATTCAGGCGAGGGACGAACACTTCACATAGTATCTAACCCTGACAA